AGGTGACGTGGTGACTTTAGATTTTTAAAATTAAATCAGTAAATTAGCCTAAAAAAATGTGTCATGCTTAATCTCCTTGCACCTTTGCTTAAAACTTTGGCCTTAACTGTTAGTAACAGACCAATTGTCTGTTAGCAAAATATCCCATGAAACTCAGGAATTAATCTCTGGAAGTACATGTGTAACTGATTACCCTTTCAAGTCAACCCAGTATCAAGTAGGCTGCCACTAGAGATGTGACGTTTGCGAACGATCCGAATCTTCTGACCGGCTCTTTACAACAGGAGCCGAGTTGCTGGCAGTAACGAGCCATTTGTAGTTTTAATTCTTTTATTCCTCATATAATCTTTATTTTTTCATACTTAAGTCGCTCCCGCTTTGCTTTTTCATGGAAAACAGGTAGAGCTGGGGAAATGGGAAGGGGGGTTTCTGCTTGACAAAACACATTGTACCACTCACCTAGGGAAATRTGTCATCACGTAGCCATACATGATGACGTAACTCACTCAAAACTGAACGGCTCTTTTGAATGGCTCTATGAAACAAACGGCTCCCCAAGATCCTGATCCCTTCAAAGAGCTGTTTATCCCATCTCTTGCTGCCACAGCTAATCAGTCTTAAACCTAAACTCTGGCATTCCTTTCAAGGATTCCTTAATTCCAACTTTGTGGGGGAAAATGCTTTATTTGTATGGTAATGGGGGGTTTGACGTCCCAAGAAACTACTGCACATGTATATAAGCTTGTTGTAGCTATAACCTGGTATGTTGCATTGAACAGCAGGGTTTTCAATGAGCCCATCTTGGACCAGGCTTGTTTTGGGGAAACCCTAGCACAACATTTCCTCTGGGTGAATGGAAACACAGCATCACTGTGACAGTGGCCAAATATCGCTCATTGCATTTCTTTGGGTGCTGTATAACAGCAAACAGGATCTCAATTTTCACAGAGAGAAATAAGTGTCACTCTCACCTACTGACAGCTTAAAAGTGTGTGAACACAGTGTTTGTGCACAACCAGCTTTAAAAAAAAAGTTTGGGGATTGGCCAAAATAGCCCCCGTGATCAACACAAACCCCCTATGTGGAGTCATCCTAACAGAAGTGTGTAATGTCCCAGTTTCAAATTTACCAGCAAATTAACATTTTCATTTTCTTTCTGAAAAAAAAAGTTTGCCTTTCCTTCACATAAAGAGTTTTTGTTTACTCTTTGTCGGTTTACATTCTGAACTCAAACATATTTCAACTTGTCGCAYTGACACCATCTGTAAACTAACTCCATTTTTTTATTTTTTACTCYCACACCCACTCTATTGTCCGCGAACAGCAACCAGGCAGCAATACCGCACAAGAATTTCCCCCTTTCTTTCACTTCCCAGCTCTTGTGTGTGAAGCCGACAGGCAYTGAAGTATGTGTGTGTGTGTGTGCACGCAAATGTAAAAACGGAGATCAGAACATGCATCACATGCTGCAAACGCAGAATTTCTTTGTTTCTCAGGGCATCCGCAGTCATTCTGAAACTGCGCCTTTAGCACCTCACTTTATCTAAGACGATAGATTCATGTTGTGAATTTAAGCGAACGCATAAATTCACATTCTGGTGAGTGAGGCCAGCACCCCCAGCCTCTCTGATCCCCTCACCCMCCACCTGATGCTTCGAGCTTTCCAGTAAATCYCCATCCTCTTTGTTGTCGTTCAGGGTTCTGACTCATTTACTGTCATCATCTTCACATTCTGAATTGAATCAGACTCTGTGTTGGAACAACCCACAACACTGATGACAAATATGGATGAAGGCTCTACTCTCTCTATGAGTACATGAAGGCAGATTATTTTATTATTGACTGAGTAAATATATTTGTATTTCTTTGKACCACTTTATAATTAATACAATTGTAGCTAATAATAATAATATTTTAGCTAATTAAAAAATAAGACATTCTAAAAAAACTTTCCTAATTCCAGCAATATTATTTTGTGGTTAATACACAAAGATATTAGGGAAACAYGAGTGGTAAAAGTAAAGAATAAAATGCTGAATGCTGAAGCACTTTTGCACACCTTTAGCTTTCCCTGCAATTTTTTAGGACTACTGAACAATAGCATGGTTAAAACCAGACCCTGTCCTTCACTTTGCTTCGTACAAGGGTCTGGACTTGATGCGTAGAGAAGTGATTCTTGCAGGAGGCGTGGCCTCTGCTGAAGCGTGTGTGTGTTGTCGCTGTGACGGAGGCTAAGCTAAGAAGCTAACCAGAAATCGCGTGTGCTGTAAACAATCCTACTGGGAGGAGAAATATTCCGAGCCGAACAAGACGGCTTTAAATGAGAGCTGCTGCTTTGTCAGACAAATTTAATTTAATTGGGAAGCCTTATCAACACGGACTGACTCCATTCACTTCCTCTACTGCCGTATGCTAAAATAACTAGCAGACACTGCACAGAAAATTGACGTCGTTCAAAACTCCGCCTTCTGTTTGCTGATTGGCCCAGGTAAAATAAACTACAAGCAGACACTGTGCAGAAAATTGACGTTCTGTTCTCTAATTGGCCCGGCTAAAAATCTGCCAGCGAAATCCATCTCAATAGGAGAAGTCCCAGATGGAGCAGTGAAGGGAAACTAGAACTGAGCGGAGCTGCATAGGAAGGCAAGGCTAGCTGAACAAAAGTTGTGTGTAGCAACACTATCTGTATCCTGAAATGTGTATCATGTCTTGTAATTGCCATTCTTTGGATCTGATCCATTTTTGCTTTGTTCTTGCATACAAAAGTAAGCGTTTGAAAGCTAAGTGCCTTGCTGTACTTACAGGAGGCTCGCCAAAAAAGCCCCACATCATTAATTTAATACGCTGCTGTGCTTTCAGTTTGTTCACATTCAGACTTTTGGAGAAATGCTGGCAACTTGATCAACGCAACCGCAAAAGCCACAGAGCAGAAGTGAGGAGCTGGCAAACATTTCACAGACAGTGCATCATCACTGCATGTGATTACGGCCCCGACGACAGCTATGAACCCGTGACCAGCTAAACCTGCAGCGTCACTTTTGGTTTTAAACCTTGTGAGAGCTGTTTCAACATRGTGCCTTCAAACGACCACACCGTCTTCAGCAGACTGACAGCTCTTCTGACTCCTCACCTGAAAGAAACACTAAAAATCTCCTTCGGACATGAAACCTCGGCCTTATTATGTATCATACACAGGTTAGGTTCGAACGTCGTCAAAGTCCAGGTGAAAAATCAGCAACAGGAGCTACAGTGGAAAGCATTCAACTGGATCTTCTGCAGATTTCCAGTCTCCATTTCTTCCACTCCTCCACGAGCAGCAGAGTGGAGCGGAGAAGAATGTGCAGGCAAGAGTGATCCGCAGAACAAAAGCTGCTTTAGAGCCGGAGAGACAGCGAGCGTGAATACGGGTCAAAGATCACTGGCTGATTCAGGGGCTGTTTGGAAACCGACTCAAGTACATGCTCATACAAATAGGTCTGACAAGTCTGCACAACATGAAAGAGGAGGACACGACAGKGAAACTAAAAACCAAAATTCCATTTACTGATCAGAAAAGCTGGATTTTAATTTAAACGTTTCATTGTCTTTTGAGCACGTTTAGAAGGTCAGGAGATACTGAGATGAGAAGGCTGTCGCCCACTTCCCCGGACATGGTTAGAGCTTATTTTTGGTTTTTAGTGTTGCCATACTTGCCGTGCGTGGACGCGGTTGTCTGCGTGTGGAAAAAGACAGACAGGTTATACCATTACAGAAAAGTCCTGAAAGCGAGACTTCTGCAGTCGAACCGAAAATATTGTTTACCACCTTTCTTATCTTTTTCACACGCAGCCTTGAAACAACAACTAACCCAGCTGAGACAAAGCAGAATGTAGGATCTTTCGGACGAGCCAATACGACAAATGTGGAATGCTCCCTGGGCTACATCTGAGCTGCAYTCTTTGTGAGGTGCACAGTGCACGCCTCCATTTGTGTTTATGTGATCCCGTATCTGAATCTCTCCGGTGTCTCTGGTGAGGAAATTGAAGGAGCAGGTGGAATGCTGCAGATATCTCCTTTGGGGTTATGAATAAATCAATAAAGCCGTGCACACACACACACACACAAACACAGACAATAAGCAGAATATTATCAGGCATCAACCACCCCCCGTGTGTCCTTACGTGTAGGTCACAAGGCTTTAGCTTGCAATCAAATGGCTTTCTTTTCCTCATTATGAAAAATGAAGTCAGCACAAAGCAGAAGGGTTTTCTGCAGTGAGTCACTTGTAGTTGCAATATTTGCATTTCAAAAGAAATGGGGCTTTTCAAACAAAACAACGTTGTGTTTGTTGACTTCCAGTTTCTGATCTGTGTGTGGCAGCCTTCAATCTGTGGCAATGCCCTTGTTCTTTTCTTTCTTTCTTTCTTTCTTTTTCTTCCCCACTCAATTCTTTGTCTTTTTTTTCCCCCCATGAGTGAAGTCTTTTGATTCTGCACCTCGGCACAACCAGGAAACCGCATGCCACAGCTGTGCAGAGAGCAGGWTGGTACTGTAAAGAGCCTGCTCCCTGCCAACACAACCTCAAACATCACCTGCAGACTCAGGCAGGCTGGATGTGGAGGAGAAAGTAGAGCAACCCTGATGCTACTGTAAAACAAAGAGGATTGAGTACAAAGACAGACAGTTGTAGGCGTAGGGAAAAAAAAAACGAATATGCAAGTTTTTTTTTATTTTTTTGTGGATCTACTGTACTTTAACATAAACATGGTTGCAACATGGCTATTCTGTGTCGATGTATAACTTCAACATTGTGAAAAGCACACAGGTTATGGACCCTACTGGATCGCTTTGATATGTTGTAGCTAATATTTGAAAATAGTTAGCTTTTTGTAATAAGGTATTGTAATAGTTTGACAAAAGAGGCTGTTTAAACAAAACAAAATACACACGAGCGAGCTGCTAATGAAAACCAAAGCAGAATAAAACATCAGCCTAGCTTGCTGTGTAAGGTAAGGCTCACCTGCTGTCGTGGAGTCGGGGTCTTTTTCCGCCCACCTGGACTCTCTGCAACTCAAAACCTGCAGTTAAAACTTTCACTCAGCCTGGAGCTGAATTAACAAAACAGAAAACCGAAAAGATGCCTTCCCGTCCACTGGGAGAAAAAAAATAAAAATAAAATAGAAATTTAAAAAAACACAATGATATAAAAGCGAGTCAGGTTGCCAAGAGGCGAGGGAGAAAGGAGCTTAATTTGCTTGTAGGTTAAATCAGTTGTGTGTCCTGGGAATCTTTTGAAAACGGATGGGAAAGTCGAAACTTTGAGGAGCAAAACGCGCGTGTGAAGCGTCGCGAGGACAGACGCTCGCTTACTAATCTACGGTCTGACCGCGAAGAAAACAAGATGGAGTCAATAAATATCAAACGTTTCCTTCATGACTTTCAAAATAAAACGCTTGGCGTCCGCGATAGACCTCAAACACAACAATGAAGATATATTTTTTAAATTGATAAAATAAACTTGTTGAACAAACGTTTTTATTCCCTTAATCTGTTTACCATGTAGTGAATTTAAATCCGTCCAATCAGTTTTAATTGTGATTATTTTATTTTTAGCTTTATTTTGAAATAGCTTTCTATTTCCGGTGTTTTCTGYTACCTTCTGATAACTTGACAGATGTCAGAGCGGCCAGGTGTCAGCCAGACAATCAGAGGTATCACAACTGGGAGCAGAAAGAGGAAGTGGGGATATTGAAAGTGGAATTAATCATATTAGCTACTTTGGAAAGCAGACAGATATCATCATTACTTGGCTTTTTTTTTTTTTGAGTGACACAACATTCACATGATGTAATTATTGCTGACCTATTGTGCTTTATTACATTAGACTTTGCTATCACTCCTTCTAATCCCTGTAACTGAGTTTTATAGATTTAATTGCTCATTGTAAATAGCATTTACTAGAGGTCAAATCAAGATACTGCAAATGAGCCTCAAATTGCATTTAAGCACTCCTTAGGGCTTTTTCTTGTCTAAACAGTTTGAGAGAGCTGTCAGCCAGTCCCTGGGTAAATTAATAGAGGATTACCATAGGCTTTGTGGTGACAGGTTTAGATTGTTTGTTTCTTTGCAGGAAGGTGGAAAGTGTTTGAAAACACACCGCTTCACAGCCACAAGCTGCCGGCATTGGTACACTTTTCAGTTAAATACCACAGGCCACAGGATGAGTTCACAAACACTTTACGTACAAAAAAAAAAAAAACAAGTACTGCAGGTATTTTGCTTCCATTTAAGTGGAGCATATGGCAGAAAAGGTAACTGAACCAAGTTCTGAATGTGATATTTAAATGGACAGCTGCAAAAGAGAGCTTAGATTCACCACCAGTTCCACCTTCCTTCCTTTTAGCCAAAAAATATATTTAAAAATTCACCAGAAATGGATAAATTTTGACTGTAGCTCTACCTGAAAAAAAAAAACTATCCCTCCATCTTTTGTTGTTTTTATGTGAATGAGACAAAATCAATATTAAACCAATGCCATGATGTTTTTAGTTCTTTATTTTATGGAAGAGTTTACTCAGACAAGCCATTCTAAAGTTCAAGCTGCACCTCTATCTCTAACAGGCTGTTTATAACTTTTCCACAGAACCACACTTTAAAGTGACTGGAATACTGCTTGAATAAAACTTACCCAGGAAAAAAAAAGAAAAAAGAAAAAAATTCTTAATTAAAATTTCTAGTCATATTTCCAATTTGCAATTACAAACGGCAAAGAAAAATGCCTGCAACAAAATCTGCAGCCTGAAAGCAGATTGATAGCAGAAATACTATTCAGTTTTGCTGATATTATGCTAAAAACACTTTATCCAACACATTTGTTTTTTTTTCTAAATACATAACGTCAACAATTTGTATCAGTCTTGTATTAAAGTAAACAAAAAGCTGGAGTGAGGAAGAGTGTAAAAAGAAGGAAGTGATTCTCTTCGGCACCTGGCTCCTCTCCTCTGCTCAGCGGTCTGTGTGAGAGGTTGAGTGTGTGCGGAAGTGTGGGGCTGTGTGTCAGTTGGATTGTAAAGGGTAATAAAGGCACCTCTGTCTCTGATGGCAGGTGTGCTGAGACTCTCAGAAACACACACACACACACACACACACCTACTATGTCTCTCTATCCTTCCGGGGACTTTCCATTGACTTCCATTCATTTTTTTGGAAATTTTATAGCCTAACCATGACCATTTACCCAAAAATTAACCTCACAGGTACCTATCTGACCCTAAAACTAACAAACTTATTTCACACCTTGGTCCTAAACCTAACCCCACACAAAAAACACAAAATTACATAGATTTAGTTTAGATAGATTTAGCATAAGGTGAAGCAGTGGTTAGTTATCGCCTCACAGCTAAGATCACAGAAGTGCCGTTTGGCCCAGTTAAATGTGTGTGAGTGAAGTGTGCATCTCCTCCCTGTGCAGAGTGCTTCGGTTTTCTCCCACAACATGCATGTTAGGTTGAATAATGACTACAAGTTGTCCCTAGGTGTGGGTGAGAATGTGAATAGTTGTTTGTCTTCTTATGTGTTCTTGTCCAGGGTGACTGCTGGACATATAGGCACCAGCTGCCCTCACAACTCTGGAATGGAGAAGCAGGTAAAGAAAATGGATGGATGGAACGATGGATTTAGCAGGACAGGGAATTTGAGAGCGGATCTGTTTGTTGAGCAACAAAGAACAAAGGCTAGGAAGAATCAGCACCAGGGTTAGAAAGTAGGCGTCTCCAAACAGTTTCAAGTCTGCACAAGTTTATCTTATCAACCATCTCCATGTGAAACCAGGCTGAGTCTCAACTCCTTCCTTAATAGATAATCTATTAAGGGCCTGGCATTACCAGGATAAGGTGCAGAGCAGAAAAGGTTTACTCATGCTTGTCAGCACCAAGTAATGTCCTATTATGTTGGCCCCACAGAGGGTTCCTCCCRTCGAAACCTTCACCGTCAAAAGAATCCAGGACGGCCTGAACCTGGGGACCTTTGCAATCTAATATTTGTCTGTCAGGAAATGAGACRCGGCATTTTGTGAAAATCGTACGCACACAGTGGTTTGAGCTCTCCGCTGCAGCTACTGAAGGAAATCTTCTGCAAATACAGCAAAGCTGCTGGACATTTCAGGACAAACACTTTTTTAACACAAAATCCATAAACGGGTGTTTGGAGTGGAGTTTGTTGGGAAACACATCTAAGGAGGAAGCATTCTCAGGCATTAACAGTGACACAAATTGTGTGTGTACGTTCGAACCTGCGTGCGAAAACTTTTCTCATTATTTTTGCTCATTTTGTCTACATTATGCAATATGTTGCCACTAAAACTCACAACACAGTATTCTTGATAAAGACTTGTTTTCAATGTATTTTTGCATGAGACTTCCTAAAACTGTGTGAGGYGGTGATTAAAAATTGTGACTTAAACTGGAAAATAACAACCACATCTTTTTAGTGTTTTTTTTTTCACCTTTGCTAACCTAAGACCAGTTGTTAAAGGTTTCACTTGATTTAAGGGAAATAAAAAATAACAAATATGACTAAACTTGAAACAATTTAGGGTAAACTTCAAAAAAGGGGAATTCAAAACGTTTTAGCGTTAGTGAGAACCTTCAGCACCATTCAGTTGTGGTTTTATTTTTTAAAAAGGCATTTTCACCCACTGGCAGTCATGCAAGGCCTAAATATTACACGGTTTTTGTTAGTTTCCTCTAGGGATAGGGTTTTTTCGTTATTTCGTTCTCTCTCATTTCACACGGAGGGGAACTATTTTACTACGCCTTCTAGTGTGATCAAAGTGGGTGAAAATTTACAAAGTTTATCCAGAAAGTTCACTCAAATTGATTGAATACAAAAAACATTTCCACAAAATATTTAAAAAAATATATTAAGTGTTGTAACAGAAACACACAGTTTGTTGTACATCAGATACATTTTACCATGAATTTTTAAATTAATTTTTAATTAAATCTTTATTAATTTCTTTAAACCAAATCAATTATATGTACAAATATAAAAAAGGAAAAAACAAATACAATGAAATGAGAGGAAAAAGACAGGAGAAAAAAAATCTCATGATATCTGCCTTTTTCATCAAGTATAAACTCAAACAATACTAATATTTGATCAACAAAAAAGAAACCATAAAAAAACGTCAAATCCTTCTAGAACACCAATTTACATGAATACAGTATATATTATACTGTTTCATATTTCTTCAAAAGCCCAACTTTTATCATTCTCTTGAACATGTACATTGATCTATCATTTTTAACATCCTCTTCCTGACCAAACTTAATATAATGTTTGTGTTTTGGAAAAACATTTGCGCGCACACGCACGCACACACGCACGCACGCACACACACATCATGTCTTTTATGAGGATTTTCCATTGACTTCCATTCATTTTCAAATAATTTTGTAGCCTAACCCTACACCTAGCCCACACCTCCAAAACAGTATTTGAGCATATAAGGCATGGAGTTTGGCCTCCATAAGGAGCTGTGGGTCCTCACAATGTAGTAAATTTTAGAAAAATGAGCCTTACAAGGTAACAGATGCTAGAATACACACACAAACAGACACTAACACACATGGTCTAGTAGTACTATCCTTATGGGGACCCTGCATTGACTTCAATTAATTTCTACAGTCTAACCCTGACCCCTAACCCTAAACCTAACCTAAACTCAATTCACACCTTAGAGTAGCTGGACCCCCAAACCCACCAATCCTATTTGCCCCCTTTGGGACTAGAATTAGGTTTCCAAAAGTAGCAGTTGGTCCCCACAAGTAGGTGTGTATGCCAAAAATTGTCCCCACATGGTAGGCAACACCCGCGCACACACACAGGTTGACCTCTGTGCATTATTAAAACACAGTTAAACCAACATCACGCACATGGGTCCTCCTCTGCTAGGCTTTGTTCCCATGGCGTTCCCATGGTGATAGCTGCCAGTTTTCCAGTGCAGCAGCTGGTGGTGTCCGGCTGTGATGCTGTGAAGTGCAGTGACATGGCGTCTGGAGAAGAATGAGGAACCAAACAAAGCAGAATCCCTCCCTTCCCCCCCCTTTCCTATTCATTCATCTACCTGCTTCTAACCCAAGAGACACAGAGAAAGCACACACACATACACACTTGTGTTGACGTATTGATTCTTGTATCGATTGCTACTTGCAAATGAGAGTTCACTCCGTGATTCCTTTTTATTTCCTCACCGTCAGAAGTGCAGACATTCCACACAGGATGGCTTGTGTTTGTCACTCTCTCCCACGTAGAGTGAAGGGAATGGGGCATGCCGAGGCAGGCCTACTGCCTGGCTGGCAGCAACACAGTTATGTGTTTTTGTCTCATCTTAACACGATCACAGACTTTCGACGAGCCAAACATGTAGGCCGTCGTCTCCCACTGGCTGACTCACTCAGCCGTGCGACTTTCTACTTTATCACCTCTGCTCTCGGTTCCACCTCTGAGGTGGCTGGAAACGTGTTGTTTGGGTTTTAAGAGCAGCTGTTTTTAAGACTTTACTTTCTAGTTTGGGTGGAAATGAAGACTTAATCACGGTGAAACTTTCAACTTCTCCAAGTTGTGTGTGGAAATCAGTGGTGGGCACAGTTCCCCTAAAGCACTAAAGCACTAATAGGGGAAAAAAATCCTGTTTAGTGCTTTAGGGCTTTTGCTAATTTAAAAATTTATTAGTGGATTAGCACTTGCTAAAGTTAAAGGTTAAATTTAGAAGCACCAACTGAGGTCTATAAATGTTGTTGATCAATGTTAATGTTAACAACTGAGGGTGAAAGCTGTCACGCATTTTGTTCATATGTGTGTCATTTATCCACTAGGTGACAATATACTGTATTAAAAATGTATGAACTCAAATACAGCTGTGGAATGTCAATKATGAGTCTTCAGAGAGCAACATGGCAACATGTGGCTCAGGTTGTCTGTTGAAGAATGTTTATTGGTTAACTGGGTTATTTTAGTGCTTTAGAATTAGCTTTTGCTAAAACTTTCAGTACATTAGTGCTTTAAAATTAGGGGACCTAACTGAGTTAGTGTTTTAGGGCTAATGTAACTAATTTTTGGATTAGTGCTGCCCACCACTGCTGAATATCACAGAAATTAAAATCAGATGGACTGAATAAGAAGAAACACTAGTGTAGTACTTGAGATCAATCTTGGTCTTAAGACCCCTTTTTGGTGGTCTTGGTATTGTCTCGGACTCGCCCACTTTTGTACTCAGTCTTGTCTCGGTCATTGAGGACACAGGATTTTATTTCAAGACCAGTCAAGACAACAACTGTGGAAATATCACTAAATAGCCAGAATGTTGTTGAATGAGAATGTGGACCGGCTGGAGCCTGAGAAAGAGTCGCAGACAAACACGAAAGGTTCAGGTGTAGTTTCTATAGGAAGAATGAGTGCGTGTAAACTTTCAACCACAACTTCCTTTTCTAATGACTATAGTGTGAAGTCAGCCTTACTTCCTAAATGATATAGCACATAGAATGTGGTTACTTGTCAGGTTTGTTCTTTTTTTTATATACATCCAATTCTATAGGTTTTTATGAAATGAAAAAAGGAACTTTACTCAGATCTTTACCCTTGCAGAGTTGTTAAGGGGGTCGAGGGAGTTTGCTTCTCTGGTCTGCATGTGTTTTGTAGACTTGGAGAAGGCTTATGACCGTGTTCCTCAAGGCTTTCTGTGGGGGGTGCTGCAGGAGTATGGAGTGCCTGGGTTGCGATCCAGCTCCCTATAGAACCAAAGCAGGAGCTGTGTTTGCATTCTTGGCACAAAGTYGAGCTTGTTCTCAGTGCGTGTTGGACTCCATCAGGGCTGTCCCATGTCTCCGATCCTGTTTGTAGTGTTTATGGACAGGATCTCAAGGCGCAGTCATGGAGAGGAGGGTGTCTGGTTTGGGAACCACAGGATCTCGTCTCTGCTGTATGCAGACGATGTGGTTCTGTTGGCGTCTTCGGAGCAAAACCTTCAGCATGCACTGGGAAGGTTTGCAGCCAAGTGCGAAGCGGTTGGGATGAACGTCAGTTCCTCTAAATCTGAGGCCATGATTCTCGACCGGAAAAGGGCGGAATGCCTCCTCCGGGTTGGGGAAGAGTCTCCGCCTCAAGTGGAGGAGTTTAAGTATCTGGGTGTCTTGGTCACGAATGATGGTAGGATGGATCTGGAGTTGGATCGACGGATTGGGGCCTCGTCCTCAGTAATGAGGGCGTTGCTTTGGTCAGTCGTGGTGAAGAAAGAGCTAAGTCAAAAGGCAAAGATCTCGATTTACTGGTCTGTCTTCGTTCCAACCCTCACCTATGGTCATGAGGCGTGGATCATGACTGAAAGAACAAGATCCCGGATATCAGCGGTCGAAATGAGCTTCCTTCGTAGGGTGGCCAGGCTCAGCCTTAGAGATAGGGTGAGGAGCTCCATCATCCAGGGGAAGCTCAGAGTAGAGCTGCTGCTTCTCCACATCGAAAGGAGTCAGTTGAGGTGGTTYGGGCATCTGATTAGGATGCCTCCATTTAGAGGTGTTTCGAGCACGTCCCACTGGTAGGAGGCCCCAGGAAAGACCCGGGACTAGCTGGAGGGATTGTGTATCCTCTCTGGCCTGGGAACGCCTCAGGGTACCCCCAGGATGAGCTGGAAAGTGTCGCCGGGGAGAGGGGTGTCTGGGTTCTTCTCCTGGACCTGTTGCCTCCGTGACCCGACTACGGATAAGCGGAAGAAGATGAAGATGGAGAAAAAAAAAAGAACTATAGAGCCCGACTAAAATAAAAAYGGTGCATATTTATAATTTATGTCCAATTTGTACTAATTTAAATACTTCAACTAAAAAATAAGTGGCACATAAAACAGCACTGAATAAAAGCTTTGGCGAAGGTTTACAAGAGCTTACAGTATCTGGTTAACTGTACAGATTTAGATCAGTGGATCCAAAGGCCTTTTCCCCCTGGTTGATCCCCATTAGTGCCACTGCCAACAAATAAAATTAGTGCACGACTGTGTTCACGCACAAAGAATGAATACTCTTGGTGAGACTACTGACCAATTTTCACACTACCTGTTCTGGATGTTCTTCTCACATTTAATAAGATGCACTGTACTCAAAATTAACACCATATACCTTTATTAAAAGTAAATAAGTAAAACACAGACATGTACAATGACGCAGCTACAAAGAAACAACATAAAGTAGACAAAAACAGAAAATGTGATTAAATAGACAGATTTAATGAAGATAATGCAACCTCCAGCATCACCCTCTTTATTTACACACATTTCAGCTTCACAGTTGATTTGACTGCACTCATGTCAGTATATGACCGTACGACCAACCATTTGGAAAGAAAGATAAACTTCGAGAACAGATGGAACCCCCTGCTTTATAAAACTGGAGCGCCCTCTAGAGGTTTTACTCATCAAAAGACAGAAGTTGGAGAAGTAGATAAAGAAGTAGATAAAGCAAGATTTAAAAAGTAGTACTTTGCTAACTTTCCTGCCTGGAGCTGATGCCTCCTGCAGCTGCACTCGCACTATGATTGGATCTACGTTACTTCATCAGGAAGGACAATTCTGTCATTTTTTTTCTCCAACTTTTTCCATTGGTCCTTTGTGACCACAACGTTACTGGTGAATGGTAACAAACWGTTGTTTTCTAGCTGTCCTCAGCCTGGAGCATCTTCTCGATCTCCTGATCCCACTGGTCGTCCTTGTTGTCCGCCTCCGTCACGACCTCGTACTCCTGAAGCTCCTGCTGCAGCTCCTTCTCCCAATCTGCTGACTCATCTGGGTGGAAAGTATGGGGAAGATGAAGAAATGCCCACACATTAATTAGACAGAACAGTTTATGCGTATGGCTAACAATTATTTATATTTAGAAAAATAATAAAAAAAACTAATAAGGAAGAATGAAGTGAACCATCAGGGGAAGGGATGCTGTCCTTCTTGTCCAGCACCAGCTGCTCCATCTCTTTCCTCAGATCCTCCTGGTTGAAGGCAGCAGAGTCAAAGGCATCGCTTACAAACTCAGACACCCCAGGGCTCGTTGAGATTTCTTCTTCTTCCTCATGATGTGGCTGAGGTATGCAGAAAAAAAAGGTGAATCACTGGTCTTCCTCTTCTCAAATTCTGCTGTGGTTATTTAAAAAGGCCGTCATTTTACCTTCTGTAAGTTGCTGATGGAAACTGGTGGTGTTTTTGGTCGGACATTGTCTACAAAAAATAAATAAATAAAAATTATAAATAAACAATTTTATTAGTTTTCAACTTACAAGCCAGTAGTTTTTCTCTGATCAAACATCCCCATAAAGCCAAGAGCCACACAGAAATGTAGATTATAATAAAGGCAGGTTAAGGTATTACTTTAGGTTATACTTAAAAAAAAAACATTTTATTTATTTGTTTATTCTTTGATAGCTTGGTGGGAATCAACTTTTTAAAACTCTAATTATTTCAACTTTTCAAATATATA